TGTGTGTGTGTGTGTGTGTGTGTGTGTGTGTGTGTGTGTGTGTGTGTGTGTGTGTGTGTGTGTAATTAGCATTCCTAATGAAAAAATTTTGCTGAAATTATTTCACCTTCTGGAATACTTTTCAACAAAATTTTAGCATTTTAAAAAAGTTTCAGTTTAATTTCAGCAATTTTTAGCTGAAAAATTCATTTTTGACAAAATTTCAGAAAAATTTCAGCAAAATTTTTAGACAAATTTCAGCAAGAAATTTCAGAGAAATTTCAGAAAATTTCGGTTGGATTTCAGTGATTTTTCAATATGTTAGCTGAAATTCACTTTCGGTAAATTTTCAGCAATTTCGCTGAAATGTTCTAAAACAGAATAATTTCAGCGAAATTTTTTCACCAGGGATGTTTATGTATATATGTATAATATCCAACTCTGAATAAGAGACAGAATTTGTATTATCAGACAATGCCAGTAAATTGCAGGCATATTAAAAATAAAATGACAAAGTCTGATGACATGCTATGCCAGCAAATTGGTAACAAAAATAGAACGGAATCTGCTGTATAACTTGATAGCAGATCGCGAGTAGAAACCGAGCAAGATCTGCCATCTTCATATACGGCCTCACTACGAAATGAATTTGCTTCTCGTAAGAAGAAAATGTCCAGAAATCCTATAAGCATTAGCATATGTAAATCGAATAGGCAAATCTCCTAGAGATTCCTCTTTTAAAAAATGCTTTCTGAATCTCTAAATATTTTTTTGACTATTTTATAACTTTCTCATGTGTATGAAATATGAAGCTCATCGATAATATTTTAGCAATAAAACTGTATTAATACGCAACATTTCTTATAAGAACACAGTCCAGCAAACGAGAATGAATTAAAATGGATTGAAATTTTTTTCTATCCAAATACGTATTTTAAGTAGTGAATACTTTTTTTGGATTTAATTGGATTCAATTGGATTCAATTAGATTCAATTGGATTGAAAAACTGCATTTCCTATTCAAAATTTTGAATTGAACAATATCCACAATGCACAGAAAAAGTTAATATTACTTTTAGATTGAAAGGCAAAGATATGCTCCAGATATGCAATTCCAATTGAAAAGCATTCATTTTAACATTCGTGAAGCAATATTTCTGAAAATCTGAATTCATTTCAATTCATTCTCGTTTGCTGAGTATATAAGTTATATAACTTTAAAAAAACAGCCAGCACATAGAAAAGATACAAGACAGTGATTACTTTTTAATAAGTCTTAAGCTATAAGAAATTGACCAATTACAATCGAATGCGAGAAAAATATTTGATTGTATTGGTCAATTTTTTATGATTTAAGACTTAAAACCTATTGTAGATTCGGACTAAGGCTTATGGCATAAGGCATAATCGCATAAACCAATCAGAGGGCTGTATTAGCATCTTAAGAAATTACTTAAGATGGACTTAAAATATGAACAGATTACGATACGTCCTTAATCTTATTATATCTTATTATTTTTCTAAAGATTTTCTAAGATATTTAAAAGAGATAAAAAATTTTTTAACTTAAAAAAAGTTAAAAAGTTAACGTTTAAAAGTTATTTAGTTAAGTTAAAATTTAAAATTAACTAAGTTATTATATATTAGCTTTTTTAGCTTATATTAGATATTAGCTAACTAAGTTAAAGTATATATTAGCTTTTTCTAATGTGTATGCCCAACACACACATTGTAAATACTGTTCAAAATTTTGAATAGAAAATGCAGTTTTTTAATCCAATTGAATCTAATTGAATCCAAAAAAAGTATTCGCTATTTAAAATACGCATTCGGATAGAAAAAAATTTTAATCCATTTTAATCCATTGTCGTTTAGGTAGTTATATCGTTATATGTTATATACTTATATCACATATGAATAAAAAAATTATTAGGAGTACAAATAAGTTTCCGCGGTTTTTTATCAAAAATTAAATTAAATTATTTATTGTGAAAGAACAGTACATAATGTTTTATTCAAAGTAATGGCCATCACTAGCCACTTTTTCCCATCTTTCTGGTAGCATGTGGATATCGCGATAGAAGAACGCTTCATCTTTTGAGGCTATCCATACAATTTTTGATATCTTCATATGATGTGAAGTGTTGCTCAGACAGGCCATATGTCATCGATCGGAACAAGTGATAGTCGGAAGGAGCAATGTCTGGAGAATACGGCGGGTGAGGTAGAACTTTCCATTTGAGTGTTTCTAAGTAGGTTTTGACCGGCACCTTAACATATAATGTTACGGTGTGTGTCGAGTATTATCATACAGGAGAATAATTTTATCATGCCTAGAGTAGTAGTGGGCGTGTTTTTCCTTGAGTGCTCGGCTCAATCTCATCAATTGTATTCGGTAGAGAGCCCCAATAATGATCTCGTTCGGTTTGAGCAACTCATAATACATGACACCAAGTTGATCCCACCAAATACACAACATGAGTTTTTTTCCATGAATATTCGGCTTGGCTGTCGATGTTGAAGCATGGCCAGGTGATCCTCATGATTTCTTCTTCTTTGGGTTATCGTAGTGGATCTATTTTTCATCACCAGTGACTTTACGATGCAAAAAACCCTTTCGTTTATGTCTGGCAAGCAGCATTTCACTTGTGAAAAATCGGCGTTTCTCGGCTTCAGTTCATATAGAACCCAATTCCCTTGCTTTTGAATCATTTCCAATGATTTCAAACGATATGAAATTGTTTGTTGAGTCACTCCTAATGTAAGTGCAAGTTCTTTTTGCGTTTGGCACGAATCTTCATCCAATAATGCTTCCAATTCCGCGCCTTCGTATACTTTCGGTTTTCTGTTACGTTCTTTGTCTTCGACGTCTAATTCACCGTTCTTAAACTTTTGAAACCACTCACGACAACTTCTCTCACTTAAGACAACATCATCATATACTTCTACAAGCAATCTATGAGCCTCAGCTGCAGATTTCTTCAAATTAAAGAAGTAAATCAAAAGTTCCCGTAAATGACGTTTATTCGGCTCAAAATTCGACGTTTTCGTACAAAAAAAAATATATGATGCTGATACAAAATCGCTAATATTTCAAGATTATGGTGTTACCAGATGTCCAATCTTATGATATCATTTTACATCAAACAATTTTAACTATAGTTTATTAGTGGCACTCTTTTGCAAACGGCGGAAACTTATTTGTACTCCCAAATAAAAATTTAATTTACTTAATGATCTATATTGTATCTATATTTAATTTATATTTATCTATATTTAATCTATATTTATCTACATTTAATCTCATTTTAAGAAAAATTAGGACATTATGATCTAAAAAATAATTTTTTTCAACTTTTAATTTAACTTTATTAATTTTGTAAAGCCATTAACTTTAACTTTATTCAGTTAAAAAAAAACATTAACTTACCCAACCCTGAAAATATGATAAATATCTTTTCAAATTTCTATAATGTATCACAATTATTATATTTTCTAATTAATTTCAAATATATTTGATTTTAAATAATAATTATATCTAAATAAATATTAAGATATATAATAAAAGATGAGAAAATCGCGATCAATAAACAAAATCAGTTGCAAAACACTCCAATACCTTATCATTAAGCATCTGTACTTAAGTAGAGAAATTATGTTATTATTATTATTATTCACACACACACACACACACACACACACGCGCGCGCGCGCGCGCGCGCGCACACACATATGCACACACATTCAGAATATGTGCAGTAACAATAAAGATTACTTAATGGAGATTAAAGAGTAATGGAAAAAGTTAAAAAAGAACAAATTAAGAACATGAAAATTACTAATAGTAAAACATAAAATTCACGTTTCATTTTGCACTAAAAAGTATTTGTTTTGCTTCTTAAATCTGATAATCGCGCGTGCATGTGTTTATTTTTACGTTGAGTTGCACACACAGTGATGATAGTGTTTGCAGCACTAAAATATACAATATAAATGTGTAAAAGAAATGATAGAAATAGGGAGAAACTGTTTTTAATTATTATGCATTATGGTGTTCGAGTATGCCTTGTCTGATAAGTGGTTCGCATGTAGCTCTTGGTAACAGATGATATGTATTTTTTTTTAATGTAATAACCTCACCATCATCGAGTTCTAGTTTACCGAAATCACTTAGACACTTCACCTGAAAGAAATCATCTAATTACTAGTATCGTTCAATTATTTTAATATGATACATACATACATACATAAAATCCATAATTTATATTACATATGTATTACACATATCCAAAAGAAAGCTTGTTTTTTTCTATTAAATACATTTTTTTAAATAAAAATTTATATCTATAAAATATCCAAAATTGTAATGTAATCCGTAATTTATAAATAAAAATACTTATAAAGCAAGAAGCAAGAAGATTGTAAATTCAAATGAAAAAAAAAAACGAAAAAATGTTCTTGCACAATGAATGTTCTGCCATATATACGAGAGATTAGGAGAGAAATATTTACCTCAACATATAGTGTCTTTGGAGGACTCATATTCACAGTCAGATTTAATCCATGATCATCGCCTATTGATCTCATGTAGGTGGCCAGAGATTTATTATAGTTCTGAAACCATTGCATCTCTGCATTCAATAAGTTAGCGGTTATCTCGGTTGGTAGAATGCTGCCCAATTCCCAGCGCATCTGCCGTAATCGTCTGATCCGATGATATAAGTACGCCAATATGCATCTTTTATTCCTGAGCAGAGCCGTATGGCGAAAATGTACCGACGGTAACAACGCATTGTTTCTTTCGTTCTGTATTACATTGCTGAAACAACATTTCGGAAAGTCTGAAACATTTGCAAAAAGTAAAGAAAACTTATTAAAAGATCGATATCTAATCACTAATGAAATATAGTTGTTCCTGTTAAATTACAAGACTAACTAAATGTTATTTCATTAAATTATATTGTCATCATATATTGTTTATACGTAATATTTTATTCTCTTTATGATTTTACTTTTCATATAATTTGTTAATAATTGTAAAGACTTTAATGAACGCCATATAACACATACTATACCTGTCCATCAAATTGGCTTCATAAAGTGTTTGCATCTCTTCAAAAACTTGTCGCATCACCTGTTCCTGCAAATTAGAAGAAACTTTATATCTAATTTTAATAATAATAACTTATAATCCCAAATATCCAAATCCGAAGAGACAAGTTTTGAACAGAATCTGCTATCAATTTCTGATTGCAGAAAGACAACAAATTGTACATAGTTTGTACTATCAGACAATGTCAGTAAACTGTTGTCAAAAATATGACAAAGCCTGATGACATGCTGTGCTAGCAAGTTGATGGCAGAAACCGAACAGAATTTGCTCTCAAGTTTCTACTCAGTTTCTATTCGCAATCTGCTATATAACTTGACAGCAGATTGCGAGTAGAAACTGAGTTGAGTCTGCTAACATAACCTGACGATAGATTGAAATCGAGCAAAATCTGCTATTTTCATATAGGACCTCGCTTCGAAATGGACTTGCTTCTCGTAAAAAGAAAACGCCAGGAGTCTTATAAGAATTGGTATATGTGAATCAAATAGGCTAATCTCTTAGAGATTCCTAAGCTCTTTTGGAATGTGTTTCTAAATCTCCAATTTTTTTTTATTATTTTATAACTTTCTCATGTGTATTTTGAAATGTAAAGCTAATTGATAATATTTTAGCAATAAAATAACAAAAGCAAAATTAATCTGGGCTAATGAGTTAGCAGAAAAGGTGTGCAATAAAATTTTAACGAATAAATTTGTTACTCCATTTGATGTCTTCTTTATTTAAAGTCTTGAGAAATCATTGAACTCATTGAACTCATTAAACTTTTCGATTCTCTTTGGAATCTTCTTCAGCAATATTCTTAATTCATTAGATTTTGCGAGCTTTGGATACTATTAATTTGGATACTATTAATTTGGCTTGTTGTTTTCCTCTTGATTCTTATATTCAATTCTTATATTAAATTATATTTGTAACTATTACAACAATTTTCCGTTCTTATACTTATTATACTTATTATATCTATGACATTACATATGTTAAATATCTTATATATGTTATATATCATAAAATCAGCAACTTAATCTGAATGTACTGTCTTTATTTATTATGACTTTTTTCCTTCAAGATCTCCGATCTTTGTCAATTTAAATGCTCATTAGATCCTATTAGTTAGATCCTATTCATCATTCTGAATGGCTTAAACGGAGTTCAATCAAATCCACATAAAATATATTTAAAAATGCTTATTTGTGAATATAATAGCACCCAAAGCATTCATGACAAGATTTGATGATCGTGTAGATGATTCGCTGTAGTCGCTACTTATTTAGTTGATTTTAAGTCTCTCAAGTATGTGAATTTAAGCAGATTCCACTACTTTTGGCAACCTGTAAGTAACTCTACCTTGTCTATTTGCGAAATCTAATATGGATTAGACATATTGCTGAAGAAGAAAAAGAATCGAAACATTCAATTAGTTCAATCATTTCTCAAAATTTAAATAAAGAAGAAATCAACATATCAAATAGAATAACTATTTGTTAAAATTTTATTATGCACCTCCTCTTGCACTGACTGTCAGCCCAGATTAACTTTTTTTTTGTTATTTTAAAGAAAGTCCTTATTTAAAATATTCATTTTTTTAACAATAAAACTGTATTGATTATTTTCAGTTTTCACACCAGTATACATAAATATATAATATAATTATGTATAATTATATATAACCATTTATATATATGTACGCAAAATTTTTTATAAAAAACCAGATTTAAATGAAAATGACAGATCTTGCTCGGTTTCTGCTCGCAATCTGCTATCAGATTCTATCAACAGATTTTGTTTGATGTCTGCTGCCAGTCTGTCTCCTTGCATAGAATGTTAACAGATTCTGTCAGCAGAACAGGAGTAGAATGCGACATCAGTTGTGGTCAGTCTGCTAACATTTTCTGATCAAATCTGCTACCAGTCTGTCGACATCCTAACATTTTGCTGGGATAATATTTATAATGCTTACATTAAATGGTCGAATATCTTCATGCATATCGAGCTCCGTTATGAGCTTAATAGCTTCTTTCCCAAACATATCTGTAAAATAAAGAAAAAATATTCGTTATAAAATTTATGTCTGCCATTATTTAATATTTCGACAACTTTCAACTTGTCTTTATTTAAGTAAAAAGACACACTTAATTAGCCATTCTGGTAATTATACAGTTAACACCAATCACCTCAAAAATCAATAAAATTAGGCTTAATCGACACGTTTTTGCATGAAATGAAAGAATTTGATAGAAAAAAATGTCGCTCTGCCCCGCGAATTGAGATATTAAGTGTTAAAGTTGACAATTACAATTATTGAGGTTAGGAAATCTATCACAGAAACAAAATGAGGATAATTCTTGGGAAGAGCTATCTCCGATTTCGATGAAATTAGGCTCATTCTACATGTTGCATAAAATGAAAAAATTTGGCAGAAAAAATCCGGGACTCCTCTGCGAAACAAGATATTTAGCAAAATTATTTAGAATAGCATATCCCACCTAAAATCTTAATGAAAATACACTCATCCGACGCGTTTTCACTCAAAATGAAAGAATCTGACAAAAAAATGCAGCGGTTGGCCTCTTGAATCGAGATATTAAGCGTCAAAGTTCGAGATTTTAGAAGTTAAAATATCTGCCATTCCGACTCGCTGCAGCGCTACGTATACGTAAGACCTATTCTTTTTCGAAGAATTCTGAAATAGTGCAATAAGTTAGAGTGAGACAGTTGTAGTTTCAGCGTTTCAGAAACGACAATTCACTTTAAAAATAATTCATTGTTTTAAAAACAACAATTTACTGATTTAAAAACTCTGTGTGTCTGTGTGTGTGTGTGTGTGTGTATGATTTGTATGATTAATAGTTCACCTCTCATTATATTATTGTCTTATTTTCGATTTTGTTGCTGGTAGGCTTTGTAACAGCAATTTTGTCGCCGAACTATTTACTAACCAAGCTATTAATGACTATTAAATTGTATTTTATTTTATGTTATGTCTATTATAGTATCTATTGTATCATATTCTATGTCTATTACTCTGTTAAGTCTTTCTGTGTAGTCTTTCTCATAGAACTTCCCAATAAATTAAATTAAACTAATCATGATTTTCTTTTCTTCTATCTCTTTCTCTGATTTATTTCAGCTACTTGAACATTTAAATGGCCTTGAAAGAGAGAACGGAAAAAAAAAGAAGTAAGATGGTAGAAGTTTAGATGGTATTACTGAGCAACTTACTTATTTCGCGCATGCGCATTCTATTTGGTCAATATAAAATTAGGAGAATTGCACTACTGTATATACTGTGCCACTATCTTCATGGATTAAGCAGGGAGCATAGACTCTTGCATAATGCATAACATAAGGCATAAGAAAATAAACCAATTAAAGTTCTTTTTTTCCTTTCTTTCCGTAAAATAAAGGCCTCTAATTGGTTGATTTTCTTATGCCTCATGTTTTAAGCCGGTTCTACATTAGTTGCAAGTCGATCGCAAGTCTGTTGCGATAGCCAATATGAAACGTTGATTTTAAAATGAAAGCTTCAGATTAACTGTCGCAACAAACTTGCGATCGATTTGCAACTAAAGTAAAACCGCTTTTATGTGTTATGCAAAAGTCTGTGTTCCCCGCTTTAAGCAAGAGTCTGTGATCTAGTTTCCACTGAAGATTTAAATCGGACAGAATGTAAGTACCAATCAACTATAGCCGAGCATCCTCCTGTTGTTCGATTGTAACAGGGCAATACTCGACTGTAGTTGGTCAGTTCTTACATTCTGATCTCTCGGTGGAAACTAGGCTTGTGCTTCCCGTTTTAAGTGGATAGAATATATGGTAGAAAGGATAATATGGTATACTCAGTTTGCAAGTTCTTTCTAAAGGCCGTATCAGACTATCGACTCTGCAGACCAACCCGACTGCCGATTCTGATTGCCGATTCTAATTGATCGATCGCATTTGATGTTTGCTGACGATTGCTACCGACTGACTCAATATGTTTGTATAGACACAGTGTGTATAATCATATATAGTAGCGACACTGACTGTCGGCACTTTTGATGTAAGTGTTCTTAAGCACATGATTCACCGCCATGTTGTAAAGTGTACACAGTAGAGCTATGATAAGATAGGCTCTTGAATTTCTCCTAATACTTCCGCCTATTGCTAAATGTACAAACCGACACATGCACACTAAAAATTGCAGACCTCAAAAAACTTTACTGTCTACTAAATATGATTATACTCTGCTATAGATTCATATACGTGGATTGTATGGCCTAGTTTACAACATAAAGGTAAGGTTTGTTCGCATGTTAAAGCATACTCCATGGATCAATTAAGAGCACGCTCCATTTGTCTCACCTCAGAAGAAGAAAGTATGATTGGAGCATGTTACGCACGCCCACGGTTGAAAATGTTCTGTATTGAAAAAAGTATTTCAGATTCATTTTGTATAAAAACGCATTTAATAAGTGCGTTTTTGATATAAATATAAAAATATAATACCACAATATAGTATAATATTAATAAAATAAAATAATATTAATATAATAAATATAATATAATATAAAAATATAATATAACTTTTATATAGAAAGTAGGCTCATGTAAATACAATAAAATGTCAAGAAAAGTAGGTTCATGTAAATACAATAAAATGTCAAGACTTTTTAAAAAAACAAGCAAATGCAATTAACTAATAAAATTCATCTTTTATTACATTCGTGTAACGCTATTGATTGACTATTCTATATAAACGTTCTATATTAAAGTAAGTGAAAAATAAATTCTCATCAATATTAAATTAAATATAATAATTTTTTAATCAGAAATTGACATTTAATTGTACAGAATATAGTAGGATAGTCGTTGAAGAAATTCTCGTTTGAAATGATGTTTTATATGAAAATTGTTGACTGAGCCGATTCTCGATAACAACCGAAGAATCAATTAAACATAATTTTACAATTATAGACTTTCAAACTACTGACTTGATACTTATTTTGAACCGTAATATCTTAACGCAGGAATAACTAAATAATAAGAATAATAAGATTAGCCTAAAGCGATAATTTTTATTGGGTGTGGAAAAAAGTTCGTGGCGTTTTTCCCGCTAGATGGCATTAAATGCTTAGCAGTCGGCAACTACTAATCGTATCGGCAATACTAAACGTGCATTTAAAAAGTGACATTTTAATCTTTGTTTTGAGCCGAAAAAAAAAATTGAAATCGGTGAAGTGGATCAAAAGTTATTTTATTTTGAAAATGGAAATAAATAAGGAAAAAATTCGCTACATTTTGCAGTATCACTACGATAAAGACAAGAATGCTCACAGGCTTGTGAAAAAATTTGCGCTATTTACAGTGAAGATACTTTATCAAAATCAGTAGCACGGAAATGATTCGCTCGCTTTCGTGCTGGAAATTTCGATGTGAGAGATGAACCTCGCTCCGATCGACCAATCATTGAAAAGTCCGATGAAATCATGGTAAAAGTCGAGCGTGATAAGCATGTGAGCACTGTGGAGATTGCCAGGGAACTAGGCATCGACACAAAACAGATTTAAATCATTTACACAAAGCTGGATACAAAAAGGAGCTCGATGTTTGGATTCCTCACGAGTTGAGTGTTAGGAACATGATGGACCGAATTAACATTTGTGATACGCTACTGAAACAGAATGAAATTGAGCCATTTCTGAAGAGAATGATAACTGGTGATGAAAAATGGATCATCTAGGACAATCAACTAGAAAAAGATCGTGAATAAAGAAATGAGAGAAGGCGCAAGCAATCGCAAAACCTGGTTTGACGAGGAAGAAGGTGATGTTGTGTGTATGGTGGGACTGGAAGGGAATCGTTCACTATGAACTGTTATCGTCCAATCAAACAATTAATAATTCCGAACTTTACTGTGAACAACTGCAGAGATTACAACAAGCAATTGAGAGGAAGTGGCCAGAATTAATCAATAGGAGAGGTGTCGTCTTCTATCACGACAACGCTCGATCACACACATCTTTGATGACTCGACAAAAATTGCGAGAGCTTGGCTGGAAAGTTTTAATGCATCCACCGTATAGTCCTGACGTAGCACCCTCAGACTATCATTTGTTTAGGTCTCTGCAGAACTCTTTTAATGGTGTAAAGCTAGCTTCAAAAGAGGCCTGAAAATCACTTGAAGCAGTTTTTCGATCAGAAACCACAGAAGTTCTATCGCGATGGAATTATGGCTCTGCCCTTTTCCCATATCCAATATTATGTATCATATGTTAATTTGTTGACATTGGATGGGGTTACATAAATACATTTTCTTTACTATCACTGATAATATCTTCTGATGAAGATTTTGTACATCGAAATGTTTGAAATTTATAGTGTTATATGAATATAATAAAAGACAAATTTTATTAAAAATATATTTTGTATAAAAACGCTTTTCAAATAATCGAAGTAACACAAAATACTCGAAACGAAACATGTCCGATCCGTTCGAGTGGTCTTACGAATTAGATTAGGTTAGATTAGGTTAGGTGATACGCTCACTTGTCCTAAATCCGTTCGTGTCACTGAACATTGGAGCACATGCATGTAACTGCTCCAACCGCCATCTTACCTGTGATCCAAGTGCTTTCTGGGTTAATTTGGAGCATGCGACACGAATAAACCTATGATATCTCTAAACCGAGCATTCGAGGAGTGGCGATAGAGTCATTTAGAAAAGAACGCATTCACTTGGTATAGAGTATCTATAATAAGAGTACGGCCAATAGGGTAATCCGCCAAATTGAGGCAAAAACGAAAGTTGCATATCCGTGTGCATCATACATACAATATACACTAAAGTCATTAGATCTATAAATCTGCAATTGATTTCAGAACTGATGCGTCAAAATGACCAAAGTGCATATAGTACACGATTTAAAATATACATTGGGTACAGTTAAGTTCCACTAATCTTACATGTACTTTCGAATTCTGAACTGTACTTACATGTACTCTTTGTGCACTTTTATGCATTACTACAGCAAATAAATCCGTATTAAACTAAAAAACACATAAATTAAACAATCGTATATATTCTTTTAGTCATAAATAAACTGATTAAAAACATTGATTTATATACTTGACGGAATCATTTTCCCAAATAAAGTATGTATACAAAATTATTAATTTGGAATTGGCTTTATGCGTCAAAATGGATGCGAATACTTTATAGATTTAGTGACTTTAGTGTACACCATTTATACGTCTATTACACTGTTTCGAGTGAGTTTTTGTATGTCAGAGGTGAATTGTTCGTTTGCTGGTCATTTTATTCGACAAGTCATTCAAATTGAGAGGAAGACATGAGTGGCGAATGGATTGCAGTGGAATTATATATTCTTTTAATAAAATAAGAACATGAATTTTTTGTGTAGTGATTATAATTTAATCTATTTATTTGTTGACGCATTAGAGTTACAATGTCCTGTTGTATACGAATGCGATTACATGGCGTACGGAAATATGAAAACGCGGAAAACAAAATTAACTAAACCTTATTAAATTTTCCGCTTTTCCGCGCGTTCTGTTTCCGCCAGTTTTATAGCCGAAGGGTTTGCACCAATTTAGGTTAGAAAATACTTCGCTATTGGTTGACATGCTCTACCAATAGGAGAGCCGAAATATTACTTCAACCCAGATTAGTATAAACTCGATCAGGCCGAAAACGCTATTAATTTTCTAATATTATTGGAAGTACAAATTAGTTCGATTCGTTTTTTTGTG